TTGGAACTAAAGGGAAAGCTATCTGAGTCAAAGAAATGGGTTTCAATGGAATGGGAAAGAACTGGATTAATCAGCAAGGGAAGATCAAACTAGTACCATTCACTGAGTGATAACAATTAAGAATTAGTTTTGTCACTAAAAGCAATTGCAACAAAAGCCAAAATTGACAAATGGATCTAATTAAACTAAAGAGCTTCTGCACAGCAAAAGAAACTACCATCAGAGTGTACAGGCGACCCACAGAATGGGAGAAAATTTTTGCAATCTACTCATTTGACAAAGGTCTAGTATCCAGAATCTACAAGGAACTTAAACAAATTTACAAGAAAAAAGCAAACAACCCCATCAAAAAGTAGGCAAAGGATATGAACAGACACTTCTCAAAAGAAGACATTTATGCAGCCAACAAACATGAAAAAAAGCTCATCATCACCGGTCATTAGAGAAATGCAAATCAAAACCACAATGAGATACTATCGCATGCCAGTCAGAATAGCAATTGTTAAAAAGTCAGGAAACAATAGATGCTGGCAAGGCTGTGGAGAAATGGGAACACTTTTACAATGCTGGTGGGAGTATAAATCAGTTCAACCATTGTAGAAGACGGTGTGGCGATTCCTCAAGGATCTAGAACCAGAAATACCATTGGACCCAGCAATCCCATTACTGGGTATATACCCAAAGGATTATAAATCATTGTTCTATAAAGACACATGCACATATATGTTTACCATAGCACTATTTACAATAGCAAAGACTTAGAACCAACCAAAATGCCCATCAGTGATAGACTGGATAAAGAGAATGTGGCACATATATACCATGGAATACTATGCAGCCATAAAAAAGAATGAGATGTGCTTTGCAGGGACATGGAGGAAGCTGGAAGCCATCATTCTCAGCAAACTGACACAGGAACAGAAAACCAAACACTGCATGTTCTCACTCATAAGTGGGAGTGAAACAAGGAGAACACATGGACACAAGGAGGGGAATATCACACACCAGGGCCTGTCTGGGAGTGGGGGGCAGGGGAGGGAGGGTATTAGGACAATGCATACGGGGCTTAAAACCTAAATGATAGGTGCAGCAAACCACCATGGCACACGTATACCTATGTAACAAACCTGTACATTCTACACATGTATCCCAGAACTTACAAGGAAAATAGAAAAAAAAAAAAAGAATTAGTTTTATAAAAATCAATAAATTATACTCTGTGGGTTTTAATAAAACATTTTAGGACCTTTTTAGCTTATTTATTTAAAATCTCAATATCATATAGTCTTGAAGTGAACCAACAAATCAGAAAGAGTTACCTGCTTTATCTATGGTATGTGAGGCAAGCCTTGAATGAGTAAATAAAGAGTGAATCTGCGTGATCGTCAGCTTCCATTTTGGTATAATTCTGCTTCTTATTCCCAATCTGGGTTTATGTTTTATCTTTGCAATTATATTCATACTTTATTTATTTATTTTTATTTATTTGTTTATTTATTTTGAGATGGAGTCTCGCCTCTGTCACCTAAGCTGAAGTGCAGTGGTGCGATCTCAGTTCATTGCAACCTCCGCCTCCTGGGTTCAAGTGATTCTCCTGCCTCAGCCTCCTGAGTAGCTAGGATCACAGGTGTGTGCCACCATGCCCAGCTGATTTTTGTATTTTTAATAGAGACAGATGTTGGCCAGGCTGGTCTCAAAATCCTGACCTCAGGTGATCCACCCGCTTCAGCCTCCCAAAGTGCTGGGACTACGGGTATGAGCCACTGTGCCTGGCCAACTTTCTTAAAATCTCTAACACAGCATTTACCTACTAGTTAGTGGAAACAAGAGTCACATTGCATCATAGGTATTCCAGATACTTTTAATGATGTGGAAATCACAAACCCATAAAATTAAGTATGCCAGAAAGCAGTTTTGTACACATTTAAGTAAATTCTCTCTTAAACAAGAGAAAGGAATAGACAGATACCAATAAACATGCATCTTTATCTCCACAATATTTTAATGATATGTTTCAATGACATTTAAAAAAATCATCATGACTTGATACAATTGTTGGTAAACAAAGTGATGCCACTAGGGTCTTCATGGACGGCCTCATTAACTACTGAACAATGTGACAGATTCATTCAAATATGTCTAACAGACCCTGGGTGAGTCTGGAAGCTTTGGCAGTAAAACCAGAAGGACTCAGCCTGTGAGGGATGGTTGGTCTGTCTCCAATTCGAACTGGGAAATACCTTCTAATAAGATGACACTGTTCTTGGGAATTCCAGAATCATTAAAAGGCAGTGGAAATCACTGGGTGTGGGAATTGGCAGCTGTGGGCTTCTGGAAATAACGTCCTGGCACTTACACGACCTTGTTCCAATTCAGAGTTAAGGCTGCTCTACACTGTGTGCATTCGTGTCCGTAAAGAAAGTAGCAAAATAAAAATCATGACTGGTTTTTAGGCCTCACTCTTTGCAGTCTCCTTCTTCATTCCCGAATCTTCCATGTTGGGAAAATTAAGGTAACAAGAAAATCTCATCTGTTCTTTTTCCACTAAATCCAAAATTATGACACATAACTCCGTTGAAATACACACATCATAAAGGTAGAATTTTAAAACAAAAGGCCGAATAAAATGGAGAGGAAGATACTTAACTCCATGGCTACCTCTCTCTTAGGCAGCATCATATTATTTAAATATCATCTGCTTTTGGTCTGTCCTGTCTCCCCAACTAGACTGTGAATTCACATGCAAGAGCCACTCCTGATTCACCCCAGAGCCCTGGGTGACCGGCACAGTGTCCGACACAAGGCACTCAAGAGATCGCACTTAAACTGGACTGGGCCTACTTAAGGGAGGTATCAGAAAATATTAAAGTAATACATACATCTGGTTAGAAAAAAGAAAGCCTGCAGAATGGTTTACAGTGAATGGCCTAAGCCCCCAGATCTGTTCCCCATCCTGCTCACTAAAGGCAACCACTCTTAACTATGAGAATTTGTTTTGAAGGTTTCATCACATGTATTGCTAATTCATAAAAAAAAAGAAGAAGAAAAAGAATGCCAGTTTCAAATTATTCATGTCTCTTTACTTAAATAGACCCAAAATATTTGGAAACACTGTCAGCAGTTATTCCAAATTGTTGTATTCATACATTCAACAAACATATATTGTTTGCATTAAAAGTTATGGCATTTCTATTTTCGTACTTTCATCAACACAGACAAGCTTTCTTCCCCACTTAGGATGAAGAAGGTATAAGTCAGTGTGACCCTAGAATGAGTGGGGACAGAACACATCAGAACTAGACAATGGGGGTGGAGGGAGGAAGGGTGAGTCAGTGTCACAATGGAATAAGCTGCTCTATGAGTTACTGGTGCAGGATGGGGGTGAATTGCCAGATGCAGGAATCCACTGCCTTTTCTGCTTACTTCTCAGCAAGTGACACTGTACGAGAAGGGACCCATGGGTCAATTACATTACACCACATTTCACTTCTACAAACTGTGTACCAAAGCGGCTCCATGATTCACGGAACAGTCCTCTTATTCTGAACCGTGAAATCATCTGCAAAATCCTTGGAATTATTTATAATGGGATTTATTTCATATTAGCAAAAACAAATGCATAAAATAGTACCACATTTATAGCACAGAAGGGTAGGAAAAACTCTGCAAAGACAGAACACTTTGGGAAAACCCTCACACCAGTAAGGGGGAATAAATAATGAACTTGTCAAGAAGATACTATCAGGCGCTTGGCCAGAGAAACATATCACTGCCTTAGAGTGTTGGCCCCTGAAGGGGTATTCTGATCCCCAGGAAAAGCTGGAGCCCTGAAACCCGGTGACCCTGAGGGACCCTCCTCTCAGGATGCTTTAATAGATCTGTGAGGGCACACAGGAATTGAGAGACAGGATGTGGATCAGGGAGCTGAACCAAATAGGCAGCTATTGGTAAATAAAGAAAGACAACAAGCCAATTCAGAAAAATTCTGTTGGCAGGATTCAAATCTATCTACTGCAAGAAGATCATATTCTACATAAAGTGAAGGAGAACCCAAGGCCTAGAAAGAAAACCAAGCCAATAATAAAAACCAAACTACAAAAAAAAAAAGAAAAAAGAAGAAGAAAAGAAAAGAAAGAAACTAATGTTTTCCAAATGCTTCATAGGAGAAAGCTTTTCCAAAGTTAATCTGAATGATCCCTTGTTACAATACTAACCTGTAGACATTATTTTCATTTTATGGATGAGGAGACTGAGGCACACAGAGGCTATATAGCCTGCTAAGGGCCACAGAAGGAGTAAAGTGATTGAGATCCAAGGCTGCCTGACTCTAAATCCATGTTCCTTCTATCACAACAAGGTGGATGTCTAGAAGGCGAGAAAAATCATATATCTAAACCCATAGACATTATGTATGGTAATACTTCTGAGGTTAACAAACAAATAAGCAAGTCCGCCTCAGTGAGATGTCACCAAACTTTTTCAGTCACTTAAACTTACTTTCTTAACGGGGTCCCTTATACTATTTCCTGGGTGACTAATTTTGGCCAGTGTTTTATAATTTTATATAATGTTAAAATCTAACAGATTCAGGATTGAATAAAAAAGTTACAATCATAATCAGAGCAACATGAAAAGGTATATTAAAAACATTTTCACTGTTGGAAAAGGGGAAATTCATGTTATTTCCTATTTTCCAAACTGTTTAAAAAAAAAAAAAATCAAACTTTGAAATAGGTCAAAGAGAGATTTTCTTAGAAGGTTACATGTTTGTGAAAACAGAGGAAGCTAAACATTTCCATGCAATTTCCACTATACCAAATCAACTCAGAAGGTTCTTTTTTCCTACTGTTAAAAAAAAATTAAAATGTCCATCTTTATGTGAATGAGGATAATAAAGTTGCACCCACTATTCTCCTTATGTTAATGTGTCTGCAAAACACACGTTTCCCATTAGCCTCCCCCAACACACACACACAGTAAAAAATAAAATTGAACTCAACCTTCGTCCCATCCAGGGGTGCTTTTCCTTCCAGCGGTCCCACATTCTAAGTTGCCAGGAGTCGTCGAGTGCTCAAGAAGCCTCCCTTACCGAGTGGCATCTCCTCCAAACACACCACCTGATTCGTAGCGAAACATGGCCCGCCAGGTAAAGTAACAGCTACCCTTTGCCTTCTTTCCTCCTGTGAGCAACCCTTCTCTTCTCTTCCTGACCCTCTTGTGTTAAGGTCCTATATGAAAAGGAGGAGGGAAGGGCTTAAAGGAGAACGAGAAGGAGAAGCAGGAGTCAAGATTTCTGTGACATCACAGGACTGTTATGAGTGGCTGCTAACCATTTCTGAAAAGACATGAAAATTCTTCATCTGCCATCAATATCTATAAGCCGTTCTCAAGTCTTTCCATTCAGCAGTTTTTCCAGGCAGGTCTCCTCACATGTTTTTTTTTTCTTTTTCTTTTTCTTTTTTTTTTTATTATTTTTTTTTTAGCACACTAAGCTGACTCAGACTCACAGGCAGAAGTTCTGACTCATTTTTCTTTTCTTTTTTTTTAGACTCCTGGAGTCCTGAAAAGGTGTGCTCCATGTGGCATTATTAGTTCTTCTCATATAAGTGGGAAAAACCCGTCCAAAGATTAAGTCATGAAGCTATGATCTTTAACTCTTAGAAAAATGCAAAACATTCCTGGGAGGACCATAATGAAACAAGGATGACAATCAAGAAGTTTTATCAAAATTTGATAGGCAGGCACTCATTCCAGACAAGGAAATACTGACTTCTCTGGACCACCAACCTTTCTTCTTCTCCTTCACTTTCTACCAAGGTACCTCTGCCATTCCCCTGTCTTGTCTACCTGAGGTTATGTGGCTATAAAACTTCATGGTGCCAAATCCTCAAATGAATTTTAGAATTAATTTAGTGCTCATCTGTGTTTGCATCTGGGTTTATATTTTCAGGTGATAATATGTATGTCAGTGCATGTGCACACGGGATGTGTGTAGTTACTTATAAGTGGGCAAGTTCTTGATTGGCACATCTACTTTGAACCAACAATTCTTCGTCTTTAAGTCTATCTTACAAAAGTATTCACCGAAGCAGACAATGATGTAAGAGAATGTTTCAGCAACATTACGTGTAATAGCAAAACACTGGAAACATTTAAACAGTAGGGAACTTGGTAGATAAACTTATATCCATATTATGGGATACTATCCTATCATTAGATACAATAAAGTAGACTTATTATATTCTCACAGGGAAAGATATCAAAAGTATATTCTTTTTCTTTTTCTCTTTTTTTGGCGGCGTTTTACTCTTGTTGCCCAGGCTGGAGTGCAATGGCATGATCTCGGCTCACTGCAACCTCCGCCTCCTGGGTTCAAGTGATTTTCCTGCTTCAGCCTCCCAAGTAGCTGGGATTATAGGCATGTGCCACCACGCTCAGCTAATTTTGTATTTTTAGTAGGGATGGGGTTTCTCCATGTCGGTCAGGCTGGTCGCAAACTCTTGACCTTAGGTGATCCACCCACCTCAGCCTCTCAAAGTGCTAGGATTACAGGCGTGAGCCACCACACCCAGCCAAAAGTATATTCTTAAATGAAAGAAGCAAGTGGCAGTACAATGCAACGAGTAAATCATTGGAATAGATTGATGTGTTTCCCTGTTTCAAATCATGGTTGATACAAGGCCATCACTTAGCTACCGACAGCTGCATCAAACAAAAGATCATACCCATTAAAAATCAATAATTTGAAAATTATTGGAATAGTTTGATGAATGATTTAACCTCTAACATAGATCACCTGGTAGGCAATTATATATAGTTTGGTCTGCCTAAAGAATAGAACATATTTTTAAGTGCTAAGTTTTACATTACCATGCAGTGGTTAAACATTTTGACCATCATCTTACTTCACGTGTGTGTGTTTATTCATAGATGCTTAGAAAAACTATAGAAGGATTACACAACACAGAAAATGGTTAAGTGTGGTTACCTCTGAGGGTAGGGGAAGAGGTATATCTGAGGAAGGTGTACTTAAAGAAGAAACTTCTGTTTTTCATTTTATATTATCTATTTCATACAACCATGCAATCGGCCATCTATGATTTGTATAGGGTAACTTAATGGAAGAAGTGGATTATCAGTGTCTTAAAGCATGACAGTAGGAGAAAGCCCTTGTGATAAATGACAGATATTCGAGGCAGCAGGTGTATGTGGGAGAGGCTCAAAGCAAAAATGGACTGAAGAAGAAGAAAAACACAAGAGAAAAGGAGGAGTAATGAGGTAATAATTGTAAGAAAAGGCCTTTTAAAAAAGCTAGGCATGATGGCTGATGCCTATAACCCAGCAGTTTGGGAGGCTGAGGCAAGAGAAATGCTTGAGGCCAGGAGTTCAAAACCAGCCTAGGCAACATAGAAAGACCCTATTTCTAAAAAAAAAAAAAAAAAAAAAAAAAAAAAAAAACCTTTTTTTTGTAATTCGCTGGGCATGGTGGCACGTACCTATAGTCCCAGCTAATCAGTAGGCAAGAGCAGATGATTGCTTAAGCCAAAGAGTTTGAGGCTACAGTAAATTATGATCATGCCACTGCGCTTCAGCCCAGGCAGCAGAGTGAGACCCCCATCTCTTCAAAAAAGAGTGAGGCGGGAGAAACTTTAGTGTATATGCATCGTAGTAATAGGGAATTCTATGGCATTATTTTAAAAAGTGGAAAAGGCATTGTCTGCTCAGCAACAATAACTTACATGAAAACAGTAATTAAAATTGGGTTTCCACCAAGAAAGAATCTCCATAAAAAGTATACAATGCCTATATCATTATGTAGCAGTCAAAAAGAAACAAAGAAAGGCTGACATGTCCAGGAAAATGTGAAAGGATTCTGACTCCCTGTGTCTCACAGCAGCGACGGCTATGGTTTAGCTCCCTCAGTGTTCCTCTGTGTCATACTGTGGCCACACAAATTAAAGCTTCAAGAGCTGCTTCATTTTTGAAATCAGAATCAGCCCTTTCCTTTGTGTTCATAAAACTTTAAGTCATATCTCAGCAGGTGAAATATCTGCATCACTGACTCTTTAGTTATTTACTATGTCACTGCTTTTGACTCATCAATGTCTTTTATTCTCTTTAAAGAATTCTTCTATTTATATAAATATGTTTTTAAATATTCACCTGGTTCATTTTGTGAGGCTCCTGGAAAGCTTTCCTCTGGATAACTGAGGCATTTCTGTGGTTCTAACTTTATCTTGTTAATCGCATATTGGTATTTAAATATCCAGTGCCATGAGTGAGAAGACAAAGGGAAAATATTTAGGAATGACCAGATACCTAAAATTTAGTCATAAATACACCTAAAATGCAACCATCCTGTGACTATTCAGTCCGTTCACCCTCCCTTATTTCCTCAACAAGAATACTAGGCAATTGGCAATCACAGGTAAGACATGGATCCTATCAAGGCATACACAGCTCACAGTGTAATAAGTGATTAAACAACTAAATACAAGTTGATGAGTTCTAAACATAACGAAAACAATAGGAACTAAAACATAACAAGACATAACAAAAACATAAGAAAACATAACAAAAACAATAGGAAAATATGAAAGTATGAGTAGCCCACTTCAATAAAGCCCAGAAGTTTTCTCCAATGGGTTGGTGCTTTGAGCTGACTTTTGAAGAAGCAGGAGTTAGCCAGGCTACAAAGAACGTACAGGCATTTTAGTCAGGATCATGATATAAGCCCAAGAAGGGGAGACTTTTAAGGGAAGGGTATGTCTAGGGAATGCCAAATGGTTCAATAAAGCCAGAGAGTGCATGGGATAAGTGAGGAGGAATCTAAAAAAGGAAGATAAGAAAGTAAAGAGAAAGCAACGCCAAGAGTCATTGATGGGCTTTCTACCAGAAAATGGTTTGCTTGGGTTTGCTTTTTTGAAAGATTACTTAGGGGACAATGGGCAGGTGTGTCAGAGGGAGATGAAAGAGGCGGCAAGAAGGAGGTTCTCTGTCTTCTGTTAAGAGCAAAGCAGCTAGGTCAGAACAATTGTTCCACAGATAACAATTTTTAGATCTGGACAATTTTTAAAAAACTACTCAAAGGCACTACAAATTGAACATGGTTAGGCAAAATCTGGAGCAGAGACCACCATTAAAAGACAAACTGCAATGAATGAAATTTGCAAGTTTACAAATATTTGCCTGTGAGCACTCCCAATTTGCACATAGCTGGGGTTACAGAAAGCCTCAGTTTCCTTACTTGATCAAGGTATCAGATAACTTAGGGGAAGGCAAAACTACAGAAAGTTAGGGGGAATATGTTGAATAGGGAGAAGTCACAAAGGCAGTGAGCCCTAAAATCTGCAAATAAATCTCTCTCCCAAATCACTGACTAAAAAATAAACTATACATACAAGTTAATCTTCTAAGTCAATGAAATCCCAATTATAACCCCAGCAGGGCTTCTGAAAATAAAAATTGACATGTTAATTCTAAAATTTATTTCGAAATGTAAAGGATCCAGAATACGTTAATCTTGAAAACAGAAAAAAGATGGAGAATTTATACCACATGACTTGAAATTTACTTTAAACCTACAGGGTAGTATTGGCATAAAGACAGAAAAATAGATTAACAGAACAGAATAGAGAGTCCAGAAATAGTACAAGTCTATAGTCAATTGATTTTTGAAAAAGTCACCAAAGAAATTCAATAAAGCAAGGAGAGTCATTTCAACAAATTATGCTGGAACAGCTAGATGTCCATATGGAAAAAAAAGAATGAACCTCAACCTCTTATCTTATAGAAAGCATAAAAATTAATTCAAGATGAATCATAGACCTAAGTGTGAAAGCTAAGACACAAAATTTTTAGAAGAAAACAGAAGAAGATCTTCGTGACTTGCAGATAAGTAAAGATTTCTCAGAAGGACACAGAAAATAATATCATTTTTTAAAGTTTTGCTTATAAAAATTACATTAAGAAAATTAATAGGTATGCTTCAGATTGCAAAAACAATTTACCATCGATGAATCTGATAAACGATTTGTATCCAGACTTTTTTTAACTCCTGCAACTACTAATAAACATTTTTAAACAATTAAAAATAGTCAAAAATAAAAACTTGAACAGACATTTGACAAAAGAATTACCCAGTCTGTGGTATTCTGTTATAGCCATAAAAACAGACTAAGACAGTTCATAAGTTTTACTTAAAGTCTATAAATTCATCATTTATCATAGTGTGGGGAGTGGGAAAGCAAAACTAGGTAATGGCAATATGAGGTACATTATATTATTTTGTGTCCTTTGTATATATTTGAAATTTATCAGTATAAGCTATTTTTTAAATGAAACTGCAGTCATTCAGAAGAGATGATGAAGGACTGAAGTAAGAAAGTATCAGTGAAGATAGAGAAAATAAAATGAGTTTGACTGTTATTCAGGAGATGATCTGTGAATGATATACTGAATCAATGTGAGAGATG